ATCTGTTGCAACAATACAATTTTATCTGAACAAGGAAATAATTCCAGTGACCCTCAAACCGTGTACCAATATTTTGGAGTTAAATAACATTTTTGATAATATCAATTGTGCGTTTTTTTCTCGGTTACAGTATTTCTGTACTCTTCTACTACTAGGTCAAATTTCAACTCCAAGACTGTAAACACCCTTTATTTATACCATGACATTATTGAAATTTACCAATGTTGTTTTTTGGCTATTTTGCTGCTTTAGCAATTTTTGGAAAGGTATATTGTAGATCATCAGCATTCGGCATTTTGCACTACTGACTGCACCAGTTAAATTAATAAACACTTGTTTATAAGAGTCAAATTTCAAGTAAAACAGGATACTAAGAATATGGAAAAAATGTTGACATTTATTTTTTGACATCATTATTTAATGATACCGATTCCTTGCACATCCTGTATAGTGTCTCTTTTTACTACATCATTTGCAGATAAAATAGTATATGTTATTTAGAGAAAACGTGTGGCACAGCCTCACTATGTTCGGGCTTCGCTACATAAACTCATTTTTACTCTTAATAACATAATATACTAAAAATAGTATACTAAAAAGTCATTCTGATACTCATGCTAAACATCTTTTTTAAAATTGAGTGCCATTGTATACAGAATGATTTTTGGATTTGACCTGCTTACATTTTAAATTCGCTAACAGGTAATTTTACATTCGATGAATTAAATTTTATGTTTTACGTCGGAATTATTTTAAAAATAAAACTAACTTAAATAAGTTATTAACTAAGTCAAGTGATCAATTTACTCAATCTTTATATTTTTTTAATGCTAGTTTAAAAAAGACAACAATCCAACAATCGAGTATTTTTGTTTATTGTAACTTTAAATATAATTTGCATTTTAGTCTATGCAAAAGATTTGATTTTTTTCTTGTTTTTTCAGACGAATGTTCCCAGCTCTAAACATCAAAATCTCCGACTTGGACCCTTCAGCCGACTATTGCTTGTTTCTGGAGATGACTTTAGCCCACCACTGCCGTTTCAAGTTCTCCTCTTCCGTGGGCTGGTCACCTGCAGGCCACGAGGAGGCTCAGAGCCCCCATAGGATTTACATGCATCCGGAGTCGCCCTCCAAAGGCGCCCATTGGATGAACCAAGACATCTCTTTCTCTCGAGTCAAACTCACAAATACCTGTTCGCCCCCTCAGGGCCAGATGGTTTTATCATCGATGCATAAATACCAACCCAGGATTTTGATCGTCAAGGCTTCTTCAGCCCAGGCTTTGGGGTGGGCCCCCACGAATGTCTTCACGTTTCCTGAAACACAGTTTATTGCAGTTACGGCATATCAGGTTTGTTATCAATATTTTTTTTTAAATCAAGTTAATTAATTAATTTTATTGCAGAATGAGAAAATCACAAAATTGAAAATCAACTACAACCCTTTTGCTAAGGGTTTTCGCGAAAATGGAAAATCTAGTTCAAAGAGGAAACAATTAATTTCGGAGCATCCGGATTCCCCCAATAGTAAGAAAAGTGCGTCACCTTCACCTCCTCCACAACCGGAAATGAATGATCGCAAGGATAATCTCACCTGTCAATCTGCGGCGCCCTGCATACCCTTTTATAGGTATTGTTACCGCCCTTATCCTGTTTATAACCAATGGTGGAGTGGTCCATTGCCATTGTATTACCATCAATATCCTTTCGGACTTCCTGAATATGAATATTCCATCTATCAAGAAGTCAAAAAACCCAGAAAAATCACCGATTTTTCTATTAGTGCCATTATGAAAGATTGTAAATAGTTTGTAGGTTACGTATTTTTAAAGCCTGTGATATTAAATTTAAGTTACAAAATAAATTTAAAAATATTCTATCTAAATGTTTTTCTTCCATTCATTTTCTTGTGTTTATTATTTTATGATTTATTGATTTCATAGAGTTTCTATTTTTATAAGTGCAATAAATAATAAAACCACAAATCTGGCTTTATGTTTTTTAAATTAACTATTTAATTACTTTAATTATTTCTCCTTTTATAATTTGGTATATTACGAATCTCAATTGGGTGTCATAAAAACGGAATATTTAGTGTTCTAAAATTGGCGACAATCCTTTGGGCTAAAATATTTAGCGTCCATGACATACCTACACCGTTTTTTAAAATAAAATGTCTCGGCGAGAAGGGTATAGGTAATGTTGTGAAACCGGATGCACAAAAATGGTTTATTCTAAATATTTTATTGTCAACTTTTCCACTTTTGTTCATATTTGCGATGAATTTATGATTAGATAAAAATGTTTAACCGTGTGTCCGGTGCTAAGTGGTGAATTTGGGTGCGTATCAGGAAGGAATTCCGGCCTCAGAGGGTGGTATTGTCCCCGTCTAGACTTTCGTCGGTGGCATACAATTTGCTTGTTTGTAACGAGAAATATGATAGTGCTGGGCTAGCGCCGGCGCCAACTGTTAAAACCCGGTACATTAGGTTAATTGCATGTTTTCGGACCTTTTGACATCCCGACTAAACGAGATAAGGGCGTAGAAACGACCATGAAATCCATGTCAGTGTGACTCATTGTTTCTTCTGATGATTAGTCACATTTGAAAAGAAATAAGTTTTTGAGAAAATCTTCAAAAGTTGCTGAGGTGTTACGCATGAATGATTCTGGACAATTATTACTGGCTTTTTCTAGATAAAAAATTTAAGAAACGTGTTAATGTATCAATAATCAATGATTCGAAATTCGTACGTGACGTTCAATGAATTTTCGTTTTGTGTTTACGTTTTACGGTGTAAACAGAATTTAAAATGTAAATACAAACAAATAACATGACACATTGTTTTTCATTAATTCATTGTTTTAAAATTTCATTTTTTTGGAAACTTTTAGGATCCACTGTATATTTTTAATTTGCGTCATTCTATATATTTGCCTTTTGACGTTTGTGGTGTGCCGATCAGCTGATCAAACATTATTTGTCATGAGTGGAAGTGTCTTTTTGACATGTTTACAGTAATAAATTAGCAAAAATTTCGATAATGTAAATTCCAACAACACTAAAAACCCACATCACAATCCGAGATTTTTGCCAAGAAGTCAATTTTAGCGTCTAAACTAGGTGAGTCAACATAACCTTAAAAATTCTCGCAAATGTGTTATTTTTATCACAATTTTCATAATTATCGCTACTTGTTGAAAGTTTTTAGTTCTATTTTTGTTTAGTTTTTCATTTACCATAAATTAAATAATGAAAGAAACAGTTATTGGTGTTTTATTGCTTTTCAACAATTGCGGTTCCAATATTTGCACAATTCTTAGATTTAGTCATTGTTCAGCATGTATAAAAAATTATTCGACGTGAATGGGGTTTGTAGGTGTTGCTATTCTACCAGAGTGTAGTTTCAAGTTGAATTTGAAACTCTGAGGGAGTGTTTCACGTGAATTAAGTGCAGATGAAAAAATATATACACGATGTGGTTCAGGTATTTTATTTTATTTTAAGTACCATACGTAGGTAGAAATCATGATATAATGAAACGTTATAAATAACTATTAATTTTATCATTTTATTCACTTTAATTATTATAGCTAGGCAACCAATCATACACGGCACGCACATTTGGTCTTTTTGCACCTGGTTTTAGTGCATTTTTGACGTATTTGACATAATTTTTATGTGGAAATTTTCTTAATAAAAATTCACAAGTACATAATAAAAGTCGAGCCTTATCAACATATTTTTACATTTAGTCATGCTTTGTAATTCCATTTAAAAGACATCACATCTCGCATCACAAACTTTTGAGTTGATTTAATACTTTAAAATTCAAGTAGGAATTAGTTAATTAAGTTAAATTGGAAAAATATTTAGTTTCTTAAATTTATTATTTGTGTTGGTCTTATTGTTTTTTTCAAAATGCTTAATAAATCTACATTACACTGGTAGAGTGGTATAATTTTCATCTAAATTCCTATCTCATATCAAAAAGTCCTTCGCCAGAACAACTTTAGACTTATAAACTTTTTCAAATGAAAAACCTAGAATATGGTTCTTTCAAAATGTTGTAGGAAATGCAAATTATTTATTTACACAAAAATTTTCTTGAGAAGGTCGACTAATGATGATTGAACCGTTTTAACGAAAACACAACATAATAACGCCGTAACTGTCATCATTAGTGGCATTTATCCGACAAGCAGCATTGAAAAATTTGGCATTTCCGGCTTCTTATCTATTCAGTTCCTTCAGATATTATCAGAGATAAGAGAAAATTTGTATATTTTCATTGTTCAAAATCGTGACAAGAATTAACATAGCATACTCAAAATGTATTATTTATTAATTAAATATTCTGGTTTAAAAATAACATTTAGGACATAATATTAAATGAAGAAAAGATTGAAACGTAGTTTGACAATAGTAGATTACATACCGAGGTGGAAGGTGCTTTAGTAACAATAGAAATTTGATGATCAAGGCGCGAAGCGAGGTACGATGAAGCTACGACCACCAAGGTTTGTGCGCTATTTTATTCTCAATCATTCATAAAGAATTTATCAAATTTTGAAAATCATGACATATGATAGTTCAGGTTGGAAAGTGGCTATTTCCTGAACTGTCATATTATATACATATCAACTTTTCGACCTGAACTTGAAATTTCATTTTCAACTTTTCACATGCAAGGTAATTTGATTATTACTTTGTGATTGTGAATAAAAACATTATCATAGTCTGTGTTGACTGTAGTAATGTGCATTATTATATTTTTTTTAACGCACTACTTTCAAAATAACATTTTGGGGCCACAATAGTTAACCGCCCATGTAGATTTCATTTAAAAAGCACTCGACTTTGTGAGCACTTTGAATATAATTTGACTTGGTAATAATAAAATGTGGTATACAAAACGCTTTTTCTCCATTGGTGAATGTTAAAAATTTTGACAGAGTGAAAACAAATCTCTATTGCAAGTAATTTGATTGACACTTTAGCAAGCGCCATCTATTATTCACTATTAGTATATTAATAAGAAATGCTAATGTTTGTTACAAAAAATATTGAACAAACTTCGCGCAAATAAAATAAATAAATAAGTAACTATTTCAGTGGTTCTTCAGTTTTAATTTAAGTTGTAATTGAGCAACAATCAAGATAATGGGTAAAACTCACCAATATTGCAAATTGCACCGTACAACGACTGTCACTTTGTCTAGCTCACTTATCACAAACGTGTCTGGGTGTTAATCACAGGTTACCCAATGTGTACCCACCTAATTGATAAAGTTGATAAATAAAATCAATATCGTTCGGTATATCTTAATTTCACTATTCAATTATGAGAATTAAATTACCCGTACTATAATAATGCGTCTTCATAATTTATCCTTATTTACTTATTTATTTTTTTACGGTTGCATTGATTTAATTAAAACTTTATTTCAATATTTGTTCAGAGAGTAATAAAGCAAAAATCCTTATCATGAATTACCTTTGCAAGGCATTAGTCTTATCTATCAGTGTAGAAAGCAGGCGAAGCGATCCCAAAGTCGAAAAAAGTAAAAATAAAATAAAAATGTGGTCCACGTGTTGAAAACCGATAATTAATACGACTTTGCGTCCCGAATATCTTAATAATTAGATAGTGGATGTTAATGTCAGTCGTCCGCCGTCTTTATAGTGTTTAGTGCAGCATCGGGACGAGAATGTCCCATCGACGCGTCGTCTCCCGGACCCATAGCGTCACCTACAGCCCCATCCCAAACGTTTTCAGGGACCTAAAGGGCCGATGGAGCTCGGACGGCACCCAGAGAGCCGCAGAGGTAAACACAACAAAATCCTTGAACCAACTTCTTCGATTAAAAACCTCGCGATAAGAAGCGATAAATCGACTCGATCGTGACCAATTCCAGTGTAAATGATGCGTTCGTACAATGAAACGGAAAAAATAAACGTTTAGCGGCACGTGATATGTCGAAAAGCGTCGAAAAATTGCCGCTGTTAGTGTCGCCGCCTCGCAGGTATGGCTCGGTGATTCCCTACTACGAGTTTCTCAGAGCGAAAGTGCAAGAACAACATCAGGTAATCGGAGGATTAACAATGGGATTATAGTGATCAATTGGGATGAAAGGATTCGAGGGGCAGTATTTAAACAATTCACAAATAATGTTATCGGGATTTTATTATGTTTAGCACGAATTGGTGCAGATGTTTGCTAGCTTGTTTAAATTAGTTTATTACTGACTTGTACACAATACAATTAATTTATTGTTAAGTAACCATTAGAGATGAGAGACGGTCCGCGCTACTTTAATTCGGTGGAATGCATGTAGAACAGTGGTGTGCAAACCATGTTTAAAACGGGGCGGCTTTTTTCCACACAGGTATTTTATTAATTTTTTTTAATTTTTTTGTTTTGGAAGTTGGTAATCATTCTAAATTTATTTTCACGAAACGGTGAACGACTGATAATGACTAACTTATTATTTATTATACTTTGTTGTTATTATGAGGCATCATTCTATATAATTTATTTATAAACTTAAGGTTATCCAAATTTTTGCTGTATTTTTGATGTATGACACACGGTTTTTAATTTGTTTAGCAAACTATACAGAGTGCGCCAGAACTCGCACCCCAGAAAAAAGTGCCAAGATCCCAGGAATATGGAAAAATGTTACTAGTAAAAAAATCCTATTTATAAAAATTTCGAAATTATGAGAGTTTAAATTTTGCATTCTGACTCTATTTATTTCTGTTGGAAAAATAATTTTCAAAGTTTTTTTGCTTCAGGCTATTAGAAGAGGAAATAAGGAAGCTGTATCCTAAATTGTAATTCTGTTTAATATTATTTGTGGTTTTTATTGGCAAAATTGTTGTACCTTTACTAAATAATTACAAAAAAACATATACAAAATCATCAGTATAAAAAAATATCAGTAATAAATATCAAATGTGAAATTTCTTTTCTCACACACCCTGTATACATCACTAATTAGATAAATTATTATTCTAAAGTTATTAGGTATTATTAAATTATTAAAAATAAAAAAAAAAACCTTTTATTTATAATTCATATACTGAACAGGGTGTTTTTTGTATTTGTTAGATACCGAAAAAATAGTACTCCCAGTTTTTTTATTGCAATTTTATAAAAGAGAAATTTTATCATCAATAAACTACAAAAACGTCTATTAGGCCGACTACTTTTTTTATTGATTTAAGCAAAGAAGTGAGCGTCGAATGTAGGATGGGACGAGGTTAATTTTCCATTAGCCAATTTCAAATTTTTGACACTGTCAAAAGTTTACATTGCTTCAAATGTCATACTAAAAATCGAAAAATATATCAAAATCACTCTGTATTTTCAGCATTTACTTTGTATAAATTTATACTGTGATTGTAACAAAAACTTTGTTTTATAGTGTTTTAAAAAATCTTGTTTTTTTTCGCATTTTTTCTTAAAATTGTTGATTATGTTGAAGTTAATATTTAATTTT